TTCGTTAGTCTCTAAAGTGCCACAAGTACTCTCTGTTCTTTTTTGTTTTTTTGTTGATTTTTTTTCTCTCCTCCCCCCCATTAAAAAAAAAACAGCATTTTTCAATTAGAGCAGTGAATACGGTTTGGTATGGGGTTGTTAAAGGAACTTGATTAAACTTCAGAAACAGTCTGGGGAGGAGAAACTTGTGCAACGCTTACTGTGCTTTGGTTCATGATCCTGCATCTGAGTCATAAATTACCACCTATGGGTGGTGGTAGGTGGTTTTTTTTTTTTTTGGACTTTAGCCAAACTTCCTCTGTTTTTTGGCGTTCATTCGGGAATTCAGGTTTTCCACTTGACAGAATTAGCACCCTCCTGTGCCCAGCGAGTCTTAGAGAGGGTCAAAGTAACCATTGTTTTATAACAGGCGAAGGGCTAGCTGAATTCTAGATGCTTTTGCAGTAAACAGGGAAGTTCTGACATGCTTTGTAACTAGATGCTTAAGCCCTTTTTTCTTTACCTTTGGATTCCACTGAGCATGGTGCAAAGAGTTGGCTTATATAATAGAGGCATGTTTTATGGTATCATTAAAGGCTTATTGCCTAATCTGTTGTTTTTTTTTTTTTTTTTTTTAATTTAAGTAGTCTGTTCCCAGTGTGACTGCTTTAGAGCATATGACGACACATGGCCAGGGAGGAAGCATAGTCTTGTGGTTAAGGCACTTGAGAGATCTGGATTTAATTCCTGGCTCTGCTGCGGACTCCCGGCCTGGCCTTGTGCAAGGCATTTAGCTTTTTCCTGCTCTGGTTCCCTATCAGTAAAATGGGGCTGACACTTCCCTGTCTCCTGAGGTGATGAGGACAAACACTTCAATGATTATGAGACATTTGGATTCTGCAGCAGTAGGGGCTATAGATATACTTAGATACACCCATTTTCTCTATGGTGTGCAGAAAGGAGAACGTTATGGAAGGACAGTGACTAAAACCACAAGCTGTAAATTAGCCTCTGTCCATTAACAAATGTATGTTGTGGTGGTGGTTTTTTTAGGGGGGTTGCTGCAAATAAAACAACATGCTGGGAACTAGCTTCCTGTGCCTTGTATCTTTCTTTAATCGGTAGTTCTGTCTAAGTGGGGTTTACTGTACAGGGTTGGCAAAAAAACAGATTTACAGCCTGCAATTCTAGATGTAATGGCAGGCCAGGAGATTCATTTAAATTGCTAAATAACTCCTGATACTGCTCTTGATGGCCCTGGCCAGTAGAATTGAAGGAGTGTTCTTTAGTGGTTAGAGTAGGGGACTGAGAATTGGGATGCCTGGGTTTTCCTCCCTACTCAGTTGCTTTGACAGCATGGACAATTTACATTGTGTCATCTGTGAGGTAGGTAAACGGATGTTCTCAGGTATTAGTATAATAATGTGTAAAGCATTCACGTCCAGGAGTAAAACGTGGCAAAGGAGTGCTTAGTGGCTGAAAATGTCTACGCTAATAGCTGCTTTTTCTGGATGTAATGGATACAGTAGATGGAAGCTTTTTTAATAATCATTTTTTGCTTATCACTGGCTTCTAGGCTGTTAATATCTATGCATTTTGAGCAGGAAAGCTTTGACTTCTTGATTTGCAGTGCTATGAGCATCTTGTAAGTACACTTTCAATGCATTCTGCTTTAGGTACAATAGAAACCCTTCTACTTTCAGACTAATACCACAACTTCGTCTTTACTCTGACCTTATGAACCATTCCCTGATAATGAGTGCAGCTCTTACACCTCAGTTTAGTCTCGCCTGTAAAACAGCTGTGTTTTTAAAACCGTGAATTCAAAGACGGATGCAATATTGTTACACTTCTGTGTCAGTCGTAGATATTGTCTTGGTACTGTAAAGTACCAGTACCATATTTCTTAAAGCAGGTATTCTCCAAGACCCTGAGCTTGCGAACACGCATATGAGGTAGGCTGTGTCTATACTGCCAGCGCTACAACACAGCTAAGCTGGTGTAGTGTAGGTGATTGCTACAGTGACTGAGGGTTTTTTTCCATTACTATAGTCAATCTGCCCCCTCGAGAAGCAGTAGCTAGGTTGATAGAAAATTCTTCTATCGACCTAGAGGTATCTATTCTGGGGCTTAGGCAGGGCCGGCTCCAGGCACCAGGCAACCAAGCACTTGGGGTGGCACCTGGTAAGGGGCGGCCAATCTTGGGGTGGCGGGGGGGGGGGGGCGGCGCGGCGATGGCGATTCCGCGGGGCGGGGGGCGGCTCCGGCGGCGTGGCGCTGGGGGGGGGCAGCGCGGCGGGGGGGTTTCCGGTGGTGCAGTGCTCGGCGGGGTGGGGCGGGCTCCGGCGGCCCGGTGCTTTTTTTTGCTGCTTGGGGCAGCAAAAAAGTTAGAGCCGGCCCTGGGCTTAGGATGGCTTTACTATGTCTCTTGGGGGTGAATTTTTCATGCCCCTGACCTACATAGTTGGCTGACCTAAGTTTTAGGTGCAGATCAGGCCCAGCTTTGTGCAAGTGATCTGTTCCATATTTGGAGGGAGGTTAAAATGAGTACAGCAGTGCCCACATCAGGGTATGTCTTATGCAGTCTTTGTAAAACAGAAGATGTAGTATTAGTCTGTGATGGTTCTGTGCGGTCTGATTTTGTCTCATGCAGAATGCACTAAAATACTTTTCAGATCCCTACATCCACCAAAGCAAGTTATAAACTTACTTGGTATTATAGTGGAGGCTGTTAGCCCTTTTCTGACCTTTTAATGGTTATCTTCTGTGTCTAAGAGCTGAGCTGGACAAAGGTGGGGTAATATAAAAGGGATTAATCTTGTAACACCTTTTCAAAGTTTTATTCATAGTTACTTGGGCTTTGTCTACACTACACAGCTTTTAGCGACACGGCCATGTCGCTAAATGTCGGGCAGTATAGACGCTGTTTGTTGGCACTTTTGCCAACAAATACTTCCACCCCCTCTGAGCGGGGTTTGCGTTGTCCGCAGGAGAGCCCTTTACACTGCCACTTGCCAGGACAAAACTTTTGCCTTTCGGGAGGGGGTGGGGGGAGAGCTTTTTTAAACACCTGTGAACGACAATGTCGTTCAATTGGCAGTGTAGACAAAGCCTCAGATACTAAAGCGTTTGCAGAGCTGAGGCCCTAAAGCCTTGAGGATGTGTGAGAGAAGGTGTTTAGTTTTTTTGGATTTTTTTCCAAAAGCTTAAATAATGACTTCATTGAGTTGCCAAGCATGTACCCTATAGCTATAATACTTTCCATGGAGTGTTCTGAATCAAAGGCATTCAACATCCAGATCCCGTGTCCTCTGGTCAAAACAGACACTGTGGTATCTTGTCCTATTAAACCGTCTGTCAGGGAAAAGCAGCAGCACTGGAAAACTCTGCTAGTGAGATTAAGGAGGTATGAAGTCTGCTGTCTAATGTTAGAAATGTGGGTAAACTTCCCATTGAACTTCTGTGGAACCTTCTTATTAAGTGGTCAAAATATGGATCCTGTAGGACCAGAGTTCTGTCTTCTGGCGGGGCTGTGTAGCACTGCTTACCAGTCACTTCTCATCTAGATAAACTAGGCTTCTCTAGAGATCTGCTTTTCTTGCTTACAAAATGGAAAGCCTCTTTGCTCTTCTTCCAGGTGGCCTCACCTTTTGACAACATTCTCAAATTACATTTTTGGGGGGGCTGACAAAAATGTGGCTGTGTTTTAGAGGCATGGAATGTTACCGGCTTGTCACTAATTACAAAGCGCTCTGCGCTGCTGTAGGTGGCAGTTGAGGTTGAAATAATTCTGTGAGCATTTCTGTAAGAGAGTCCTCACCTTGGAGAAGAGGAGAGAAAATATGGAAGTTTTTGCAGATTCTGGTAAGCAGGCAATACGATATGTTAACACACCCACTAATAGATTGCTTAAAGAGTTGCACAAACTCTGCAAGTTCTCCCTGTTTTCCCCCCACCCTGTTGGAGAATTTACTTTTCAGTAATTTCTGCTACACGTGACTCTCTAGATCAGTTTTAATTGCCTTGATAAACAGCATCTGCCAGGAAATGACCAAATAATCACTAAAACCAGGCTGAGAGGTGGAATGAGGAAATGGTGTATGGGTTATAACAGGAACAAATTAAAGGCTCAATCCTTCATGCCTTGCTCAACCCAAACTCCCTTAGTGAGGAAATTGGCAAACTTGCTATCTCCTAACTCACCCCATTTGTATGTTCATGCTTTGAATATATGACCACTGAATTATAACCTCCCGAACTAGTCATGCTGAGCATATTTTAAACACTTGATTGTCACTATGGAGTCTTGGACGTAATGCAATATAGTCTAGCTGGCCTAATAGGGTTAATGCATTCCATTGTCCTAGAACTTTGGAAGAGACTGGTTCCTGGGCTCTGTGCCAATGGAGGTGCACTTTTTCTTTTGTGAAAGAGCCCCAAGGGCTTAGGCACTAGCAGCCCCTGCTGGCACAATGCTGGAATGTCTGCAGCATTGGTATGCATTGCACAAACTGTTTCTTGGGTGCCCTTCATCAGAAGAAATCTGCTGCCTGCTTGAGTTCCCTACCACACAGGGAAGGAAAGGTGGAGATGGGGAAAGCTGTGTGTCTGTTACCCTTGGGGATTGCAGTTCTTTAACAAGCTGCAGCTGCTAAGGACTTAACAGAGAAGTCCTTGTCTGGAGGTTAGTATAAGCAAAGGGATCATGGTGTTTTCTGGAATTTTTAAATGTCTGTGATGGAGCGTGTGCTTCTGAGTTTCTAAACTGGGCTTCACAGCTTCAGTGCGGCACCGAGCACATCTTTGGCACTTGCTGAATGTTTTAGATTTTTTCCGTACTGCAGGCTAAGGATTAATATGGCACAATCTGGAGAGGTCAGAGCTCCACAGAACAGAATTATTCACGTCTCTAACCAGGGAAGCACACATTGGCTCACGGGGGCTTTGCAGCGCTTTAGCACGATTGGCACACCTTGTTCTTTTGAAGACTGCTAATTAAAGTCCTCTTCCTCTTCTTACAGACCCGAATGCAGAGTTTGCAGCCAGATCCCAAAGCCCAGTACAAGAGCGTGTATCAGGCCCTGAAGAAGATTATTCACACTGAAGGCTTCTGGAGGCCTCTACGAGGAATTAACGTCACCATGCTGGGGGCTGGCCCTGCCCATGCAATGTATTTTGCCTGCTATGAAAAAATGAAAAGGACTTTAAGTGACATTATTCACCATGGAGGAAATAGCCACGTGGCCAATGGTATTTTGCAACTGTTTGCAATTAATAGCCTGTTTCTTGCCTGCTTCCTGCTTTTACAGTGGCCTGGCATCCTTCTATCTACTCTGGTGCTTTGGGAAGAACTTGACACTGGCTTTGATTTGTTCCATTCAGCCTGGTCTCGCACAGACACTTGAAGTGTACATGTATTTGGGGGCGGTGGAGAAATATGAGATGCAAAACCTACTTCCAAGTTTCCAAGTGCTCAGCAGCCAGCAGGTTCCATTAGGACACTTACAGCCAGGCATCCCAAAGTGCTCTGCATCCACCATGCCAAGCTCTTCTCGAAAAGCTGGCCCCTTCCTTTGGTGCTTTATGTAGTCACTGGCCTGCTCAGAAAATCCAGCCTCTAGAGAACGTTAACTGGCACTGCGGGACTTTGCTGTGTTAGGGCTCACCAAACATAACGCTCAAGAATTGCAACATATGGTATATCTGCACAGCAGCTGGAAGGTGCGATTCCTAGCTCAGGTCGACATTATACATGCTAACTCTGTTTGAACTAGTGCACCAAAAATAGTAGTGTGGTAGCAGTGGCATGGACGGCGACTCAGGCTAGCCATCTGAATAGAACCCCATCCAAGGCTCTAGTGCCTACTTGCTCGGCTAGCCCCAATCGCCACCTGTGGCATCACAGCCCTGCACAATTTATAGTGCGCTAGCTGGAGCGGCACTGGCATGTCTATACCTGAGCTCGGAATTACATCTCCCAGCTGTTTAGATTTTCCCATAGAGAACAGATTGGCTTTGAAACAAGTTTTCCTGTTGTAGGCTTCCACTCTGAGTGGGTTTCATCTTTCTCCTACTGGGTAGGAGAAACAGAAATAGCTTATTAGAAGTTCTATGAGGAGCAACTTCTTAAAAGGGGATGCTGGTGTGTGTGTGTGTGTGTGTGTGTGTGTGTGTGTGTGTCTATATATAGTA